TGAACAGGCGATACTAAAAACCATGATAAATATACACAAGTTTCTGTTCTAAAATCAAATTAAATAACAGTCCTGTTCTAAAAACACCCCATACAAAACCCCCACTAAAACATAATCAAACTACGCCAGGCCGGCCGCACGAAATAGATGGGCCTTCAGGGCTCGGCGAAAAAGGCGCAGGTCCGCAACTGTACGTAGGTTGGGGGTAGGTCATTCCAGAGGGCAGGAGCTGCCACAGAGAAGGCTCTCCCCCTGGGGGTCGCCAGCCGGCATTGTCTGGCCGACGGCACTCTAAGAGAGGCCCTCTCTGTGGGAGCGGACTGGTCGAAGGGAGGTGTTTGGTAGGAGGCGGTCTTGCAAATAAAACCTTTATCTTTTACCAATAATTAGACATTTGAGATGTTGTTGAATTCATTGACTCATTGTTACTTTTAGCTTGCAGCCTTTTATTGAGGTGATCATAGTAGTTGATAATTATTTTTGGCTTTAGTAGTGCAGTTAGTCCTTGCCTAATGACCATTCATTCAAAATTATAACAGCACTGAATAAATGGTTGTTATGGATAGCCCTCAAAATTACAGCTATTGCAACTTCTCCCTGGGCATGTAATCAAAATTTGGGTGTTTGGCAGTTTGCCCATATTTACAAGTACAGAATGTCCTTCAGATTCCCCCCCCATCCCCTATTTCCCCCATTTCTATCCTTTTTCCCCTTCCTACACTCTGCCACCCTGTGTTCCTATACCTTTCCCCCTGCCTGGCTACCCTGTGCTCTGTCCTACACTTCCACTGCCCCGCCACACTTCCCTCTGCCCTGTATTCTTGGCATCAGCTGCGAAAGGAAGAATATGGTGAAGGTCAGCAGGAGCTTGAATGAGGCAGCAGGCGATGGAGACAGCAGGGGTGACAGAGTGCAGGTGGCAGGGTCAGTGGAGCATAAGGCAGCAGGGAGTGCAAGGTGGCCAAAAGGCTGACTAACAACCACACCGCATCTTTCAAAAACAGGTTGAGAATGAGCCCGTTATCCCACAATTGTTTTCCTATTGGTCAAACCATCTTTAGAGTGTTATAATTTGGCCATGCGCTTTGTTGCCATTTGACATGGGTGCCAGCTTTCAGAATAATTTTTTGAGAAATATTTCTTTTCTGAGATCTGTCTAATGGTTACCTGATCTCAGTTTTGTACACTGATAAGATGTCATCTGGATCATTGGTTTCAATATGAGGCAATATTGGCACATTTTTCTTTCCTCAGTATTTTTCCATTACTGTATAAGTATGCCATCCAGTACAATTTGTGCTGATCACCCATATGTAACAGACAGAAGAACTGGTTTCTTACCTTTAATAGTAGTTCAGCTCAACTTGGCACAACCTCTTGTCTCCCTGGATACAGCTTGAAACAGTATCATAGTTATAATTGAAATTGAGAGATCAGATAGTCTCATTCACATAAAATGCTATGAGATGAGGAGGGAAGGCTGTCAAAAATCTTTCTGGAATATTTTGAATTTGCTCTTCTGTAGTTACAGAACCCATATATATCATATGTATATGACAGGGGTAGGCAACCCAAAACACTCAAATTGGACCCATTTCCCACCGAAAACAAAACACTGGGAGCCGCAAAACCCTTTTGATATCTAAAATGAAGATAACATTGCATATATCCTTTTTTACCTTTATTATATTTTATATATTATATATATATATATATATATATATATATATATATATATATATATATATATATATATATATATATATATATATATATATAAAAATGCTAAAAATGTGAATCCTGGGCATTATGTTAACCAAATAAGAAAGAAAAACCAACACCAGGATATAATAAACCAGACTGTTTAATATAAACAAGCCTGTGGTTAAAAAGAGTCACTAAGCTTTTGTCAAGCCAAACTACCAACGTCATCAGAGTTGGAGTAAAAGGAGATCAGGAAGGCAGCTCATATAACCTCCTGCCTCTGCGCCCGGCTCCTTGAGCGCATCATTGGCCCGTTGATTGTATTAATCCGTACTGCGCAGAGTTCTGCATCAGGCAAACTGTCCTTGGCTCCGCTAGTTGTTTTACGATCCTCAAGTGCTCTTTTAGAGCGTGTGCAAGCACTTGGAGGGTGGCTGTCAACCGATCCCTGCGCCCAGTCTCCCTCCCTCCCAGGGCCATTATCCTCCCCCACCCCTAAAGCCATTGTCGTCTCCCCTGTAATTCCTCCACTATCAACCGGCATATAGATCTTTTGCCAGCTTATCAGACTCTTAGGGGATGGGAAAGGCAGCGCCACGGTCTGCTGAGAAGACACTCAACTCTTCCTTCGCAGGATTGGGGCGGTAGAATGATGGATGAGATGGGCACGATCCCTAAGGAGGACAATGACCTGGTTAAAGGGAAAAACCAGAGATCGAAACAATGGGACAACATCTTGCATAATTGGGACGATGGCTCTACAGGTGAGGCGACCATGACTCCCATGGGCGGAGATGATGGACAAATGGCCCTAAGCCAGGGACGGACGGGCAGAGGCCGATCTGGAAGGAGGGGGAGGGAGAGGGAAGACGTAGAGCAGGAATGCTGGAACAGCTGCTTTTTGCAGGACTGGGGTGGAGGAATTATGGGGGAGATGACAACGGCCTTGGGGGTGGGGGAAGATAATGGCCCTGGGAGGGAGGGAGACTGGGCGCAGGGACCGGTTGACAGCCACCTTCCAAGTGCTTGCACACGCTCTAAAAGAGCACTTGAGGATCGTAAAACAACTAGTGGAGCCAAGGACAGTTTGCCTGATGCGGAACAACTCTACGCGGTATGGATTAATACAATCAATGGGCCAATGACACGCTCAAGGAGCCGGGCGCAGAGGCAGGAGGTTATATGAGCTGCCTTCCTGATCTCCTTTTACTCCGACTCTGATTTATTTATTTTATTTATTTTATTTATTTATTTATTACATTTATACCCCGCCCTTCTCCTGGTGGACTCAGGGCGGCTTACAGCCAGTTTAGAAAACAAAACAATCAATACAATATACAAAATTTAAAATATAGTTAAAAAGAAATATTAATATGGGCCTTTTCTTCCTTTTTTTTAAAAAGTTATTTAAAAACCAAATTTAAAATCCCCTTAGGCCAGTCCTGCCAGCTGAAATAGCCATGTCTTGAGGGCGCGGCGGAAGGAGGGGAGATCCGGAATCACCCGGATCTCTGGGGGTAGTTCGTTCCAGAGGGTGGGGGCTCCAACAGAGAAGGCTCTCCCCCTGGGGGTCGCCAACCGACACTGGTTGACGGCACCCTGAGGAGACCCTCTCTGTGGGAGCGTATCGGCCGGTGAGAGGT